CGGGTGTCCAAGTCTCTTTGAGCCCCGACTAATCCCGGGGGTGCACAGGCCCTCGGCAAGGAATTTCCCGCAAGTGTACCACGGTTAATTCAGGTTTTACCCAGTCCGATGGCCCTCATAAATTGTTTGCACCCAGTGGGTTTCGAACTTGAGATCTTGAAAGGGAGCAAACCCCAAGGCTCAAGTCAATTGCCACCAGGCTAACCCCTGAGGGTTGACCATGCAATTTTATTTTTATATTTGCACAAAAACAAGTTTTTCCTCTTTCTATAATTGATTTTCTGAATGTACTAATGTCTTGCAGTATCTATCAACATATATCTCAGATTGAGGTCCCAGTATGTGATTGGTTTGCAATCTCTTCTCTATTGCAATTGTATGGTTTTATGCGGAAATATTGACCTGGTGTGGCGCATACAAGAATGCAAATTGTTGCACTGGTACTCTTGGACTAATTGCCGGATCTCCTTGGTGAGAATTCTCTTGACCACCAAAATTTTCCAAGAAATTTCTTTTCAGAAGTAGAATATGTAGAATGAAATCTAAGTGATTTAACTGGCTGAGACATGTTCTTTCACTTATTTTCACAGTAATAAGGTGCGTGCAAGTCCTATTTATTTGATTATTTGCTTGAAACCTTATTGGATTTGGATAGAAGAAACTTTGGTCTATCAAACTACTGAATACTGAATTGAACAAGTTTGGTCCTATATCTCTCGGGAAATTTTCTTCATGCCTCTGGAATTGTCTCTCATGCTGCAACTCCCATTGTTTTATGCAGGATCGACATGTTATCATATCAATTCTAATGGGGGTTTCCTACCTTCAAAGTTGGAGATGCTTTACCATGGTGTTCGCTTCTTTTGCTGCTTCTGTGGAGGTCTGTCTCTGATCCTTTACTTATCTGTTTGCTATTGGTATGTAGTACAGTCTTCATAGTTAATGTTGCTAAAAAAGTTGGCTGCAAGAAATAACTTCTTAATTGTTTTTGGTACCCTGTTGAAAAATTGAACCTTGTGTTGGAAGAAGAAAAGTTTTTGTTTTTGTGATACATGAATTATCTTAGTTCGCGTATTAGGAAATTATTTCAAGGGTACATTTATTGTTCTGTTCATGAACTAAGGAAGAGGAAAAAGTTCAGTAGTATTAAGTTAAGGTACATGTACTAGTCTAGGTACATGCTAGAGAAGTCCTATAAATACCTAGGCACCATAACTATATTATGTAAGCAAGTTGCGTGAAGTAAAGAAGAACCATTTTCGCACTTGTCTTCAAAGAGAATTTGAGAGATTCCCCGATTTCCAGTACACTGGTCTTCCATTTTCATAGTGAAATCTAGTCTTGTATTCAATTTGAGTCCTTTTTTGTGCAGTCAACTGGTGTATATCTTGCATCAGCAAGATATGGAAGCGCTAAACCAGTGCCACCTGTCATTAGCCATGGGTATTGGCTGGCTGGTGAGATAAGATGTTCTCTTCTATATATCCTCTGTGTATCGAGTTTTATTTACCTTTGTGAATTTCAATTCTTGGCCGGGGATAGGGACTTTGCTAAATGCTGTTTTTGTTGTCACTGATCTCTATAATGTTTTCTCAATCTAAATTTCCTCCTACTAATGATCGACTTAGGCACAGATGGCAACAAACACTCTCGTCCGTGCTTGAATTTTCATGTCATACCATCAGTTAAATAAGGTTGACATAGAACTAAACTGCTCAGGTTAAGCTTTAGCTAGTTTTAAAGGGAAATGCTGGTCTCATGGCAATGATAAGAGTTGGAAGCTGAAGAGTCAACGAAATATCTGCTGGTTATATGATTTTCTTCTCCATCTTAGGTCTGCTAATACTAATGTATTGATTCAAAGATCCTATTAGTTGATGAAAAAGGAGTGACTAGTTGTATTTCTACCAAAATTAGACTCTTTTTCTCTATATGCTAATGCTAATGTATTAATGTAATTAGTGACCTGTTTTTTTTCTTTTACTAGGAATTACCATTTTGTTGATGCAACTTTCTCCAATGACAAATATCATTTGGCCCATTGGTTCAATGCAGCCTCTGCTGGTCTTGGATTTCTCCAATTCCGTAACCTTAACAGCTTTAGGACAAAGTTCATATTGGGATTCTCTTTTCATGGGATTTTCCTTACCTCAGTACTTCAGAGAGCATCACTTATGTTCTGGAACTGGTCCTCTTCGTACACATTCAAGATGGGTAATCACAACCTTCATCCACTAATTAAACACGATTACTTTTAAGAATTATTGTTATAAAACAACCTCGTACTAATGATCTTCTTCTTGAAGTGCAGTTTAATGACATAATGTCTGTCATTTTCATGTCACACGGCACGGTAGCTGCTATAGTTGCTGTATTTTTGGATAGAACCCTCCTTTTAGTAACGATGAAGCTCGAAAAGATAATGGTTCACATTGGTGGGACAAGTTTGTGGTATATACTAAAGATGTTAGAAGTGATGAGTTCTATAAATTACCATGCCAACTTAATAGGTTCTTCCCACCTTATTAGTTAAAAAATTGCCTTCACAGCTTTGTTTGGTTTTCCTTCATAAACTGTATTCTTTGCGTCATGTGAAAATTTTCTAAAATTGCCACCTTATAGTAAAAACTGTCTAAAGCTAATATCAATCATAATGAGTCTTTTCCATGTCTTGTTACTTCCTTCAAAGAATGAGGTTCCATATATATTTGGATATATGAATTTCTAATTTATAAAGAATGACCAATTGATGTTAATGTTCATTTATATCTTTAAGTAGGGAGTCTTGAAGCAACGGTAAAGTTGTCTTCGTGTGATTTATAGGTCACGAGTTCGAGTTGTACAAATCAATGTTTTAAAGGGTGGGGGCGTGAGGCGAAGCGTTTTACCTCTGATGAGGCGAGGCGTAAGCCCTAAAACATGGGGCGTAAGTCTCACGGTTCTTTAAATTTTATTAATTGTACGAATTTTAAGATAGTATTAAATAAAAAATAATTATAAAAATTACATTAAAATCACAAAATTATAACAAATAATCTATTTAAAATATTTATGGATTATAATTCAACTATGACTAATACAAAAAGTATGACATATATCATAATATGGAAATTAGCTGCAACGTCGTTACAACTCAAACATCAAAAGTAATGTATTCAATACAAAATCTTATATGATCTCTTAAGGAGTAATGAATCTCGAAAGAATTTCGATATTATAATTTGATATTTTGTTTTAAAATACTCCTTTTATTTAATATGCTTTCTATTTGAAAGAGAATTTATATAAAAACATAATTAACAATTTAAATATGATTCTCTAGCATTATTTATTTTTAAGTTTTAACACGTTAATAAAGTGACATAATTCACCGTAAAATACCATGATAACCAATTATTTGTGAATAGTTACTAGCTAATACTGAGCTATTAAATTAATAAGTATTGTATCTCGTAAACGTGAAAAAAATAATATTTTGGAAAATAATTATAAAAACAATTATGGACTATTATATAATAAATACAAAACAAAAGTTAATAAATAAATACTTTTTAAATGAAAGATTTATTTATAATTTACTATTATAGTTGTCTTAGTGGATAACGTGCAATAATTTTTATTTAAATTATGGCAGAAAATACTCTCAACTTAATGATTTATGATTAAAAAAGTAATTTTGAATAGTTAACGATTTATTAAAAAATATTGAGGATTTACAAGGTTAGTTCTATTAGGCGAGCCCAGTACACTGGGCGTTGGGCGTGTCCGGGGCGTAAGCCCCGACGGCCGAGGCATAAGCCCCGACGGCCGAGACGTAAGTCTCACGGAACTAAGCCCCACACATAAGCCCAGGGGCGTTTTACGAGTGCTCCGCCCTGGGGCGAGCCCCGGGCGAGTCCCAATTCTGCCTTTTAAAACAGAGGTACAAATAATCATTAATGCTTGCATTAGGATATGCTATCTACACGGGGCTCGCCCCAATTCTGCCTTTTAAAACAGAGGTACAAATAATCATTAATGCTTGCATTACGATATACTATCTACATCACACCCCTTGAGGTGCGGTCCTTTCTATAGACGCTGCATGAATGGAGGATGCTGTGTATCAGGCTACCTTTTTGTTCATTTATATATGAAACTAAATTTAGTGCTGAAACCAACCGGTAACCATGTATGTTTTCAAAAGCAATTTTTATTTTAGTTTGAAGACAAAAATAAAAAGGATTATAAACACATTTCAATTTACCACATTATTTTCCAAAACCTAGTTTTCAATAAAATAAAATATAAAGACAAAAATCAAACCACAAGTAAAAAAATATTGCTTTGTTTCTTGAAGTCAAACTAAAATATCTTACAAAAACAAAAGAAAACCGAAATATAGTTTTTGCAAAAACTACTACTCCATAGCAATTCTCCAAAAACATTTTATCAAAGAGTAATTCGCAGTAGCAACACAAACTTTTTCCCAAAATAGTCTTGAGGAACTTTTCCAAAACCTAATTTTTTGTAAACTAACCACAACCAAATCAAATCCCCCTCTTAGTTAAATTTATTTGCCACGTTAAATAATGGAGAAATTTGTTTTGTCATGGGGACAGTGAATTAAATAATGAATCTAGATTCCGGATATCAGGGCCGAAAGCGTACGTATCCAATTATTAATTGGGGTCATATTAATCTCTTCAAAGAATTTTGGGATTTAATATTGAAATAAGTATATGGCCGAAGGAGTTAAAAAGGAAACCTTTGATTGACACAAGATACTGAAGCACATGGCTTTGGAACAGCACACGTGTGTCCATGGACTAAGCCAAGTCAGTATCCAGTAGGATGCTGGTCCACTTTACTCTTTTTTTTTTTTTTTTTTTGGGCTCTACTTTCCGAATATTCCTTTTTCTTTTTCTAAATTTTAATAGCAAAACTAAAATATAACTAAATGACATCGTTGAGTTGAAAATAGAGGGAAAATGAGAATTGACAAAAATTATATTATGAAATACTCCATTAGGAGACACTTTTGTGTATCACAAAATGTATGTCACAAGAGAGCTATTCCAACGGATTGTAGATATACTTCCACATGAACTGTTCTTTGTTGGCAGGGGTGGAACTAGGTGGGCGAAAGAGGTTTCAGCCGAACTCCCTTCGTTGAAAATTGTTAGTATTTTGTATTCGTAAAATAATTCTTGAGAAGGAAAAATAACATAAAACAGAAAATGTAAAAGAAGCAGAAATCAATTCGAGTCCACTGAATTCACAATGTTTCCTTAAGGAACTTAATCTCCTCCTTATATCCAAAGTTATGAATTATTTTCTCCCAATATAGAATGAATTACACATTAATGTAGCGGTACTTCAAACCCAAGTGTTTCAGCGAACAAAAATGACGGTAGTGAATCACACTTACTTTGTTTGTTTTGTAAGAAAGCAATGCAGAAAGGAAGAAGAGATTTCAGAATTTTCGTAGGAAAAATCTGAGGGAATGGCCTAGTATTTATAGCTAACAAGGGGTTGGGTTCAAACGAAGAGATGCAACTCTTTCAGATGACTGTTTGCGTAAAACGGCTATTACGTAAATGGCTATTTACGCAAAATAAAACGGGAAAATAAAAACGTTTGGGCATTACTCTTTCAATCTGAAGGAAAACCAATCAATCTATAATAGTTTTCAATAGTGTGATTCTGCTTCTTGCAATAGTTGCAGAACTGAGTTCCTTTCTTTGTTTTTTTGGTGAATTTCTTAGCAGAGGTAATCTTATGTCCTCCATAGCAGAGGCGGATCCGGGATTTAAAGTCTATGGGTTCAACTTTTAAAATTTTTAGCATTGAACCCATTATATTTTTAAAGTTATGGGTTCATCTCTATTATTTTTGTAATTTTAATAATTTTTTACATATAAATTTTCACTCCGCGTCGAAAATTATGGGTTCAATTGAACCCGCACAGTATATGCTACATCCGCCCCTGCTCCATAGGACTGTTGAGCAGCAACAAAGGCACTTTCAGCTGGATGTTGAGAAATATATACTTCTCTTTGCTTCTCATCTCTGATGAGCAAAGAGTAGGCATGATTGACTGAAAGCAATGGTGATAGCATAAGTAGATTGCTTCTGGCTGCTCCATATGCGTCACTGAATGAGTCTGCTATCTTGCTGAGATTTGAAGTTTTTGATTTTACCATCACAACTACAGGGACAAGTGCAGTGTTGACACTTGACACACAACCAGGCTGTCCACCTCATCGCAGAGCCTTTTCAGCTTAGTATAGTATCCTGCTATATCTAAATTTTTCTGTGTTGACTCAGTCATCTCCTTTTATAGGTGATAAAGTTGTGGTCCATTACTCTGACAAAACCTTTCTTCAAACTCATCCCAGATGTCCTTGGTTGTCTTGGAGTATAGAACACTCTCAGCTATTGCTTTAGAAAGAGAGTTCAATAGCCAAGAAATGACCATGTCATTACAACGGGTCCAAGATTTGAAATCATCAGAAGAGATTTTGGGTTGAAGGAAGGTTCAATCAATGAACCCTACCTTGTTTTTTGCAGACAAGGCTATGAGCATTCCCCTTCTCCAACCCCCATATCTTTTTCCATCAGAAGCATTGTTAACAAGAAGCATGCCAGGTGAATCTGAAGGATGAAGGTAAAAGGGATGAGAGGAGTCAAGAAATACAGAACCAGCTGGTGAAGCACCGACTGTTGTCATTTGAGGAGAGCTTGTTTCTATCACAGATGGTGAATTGAGCTCGTGTTGGTCTCCCATGGTTGAGTTAAACACAACAAAGGAGAGAAAAGAAAATTAGATAGATTGAAGAAGGATCGAGCACTAAAGCTCTGATACCATGTTAGGAGAATAAAGGAATGAAATAGTCATTAAGAGAATTTTTCGTGTATTGATGATGAACTATGTACAGTACTTGTCTTTATATACAAAGAAGAAAGAATCTTTCTATAACTAACTATGTCACTTGGCCTATGATTATTAGCTACTCCATAACAACTTATAAGATAAATACAGAAAGTGGTAATTTATCTACAAGGAAAGAATCTACACACACAATCTTCTCTTCTCCTCTAGTAGGCCCAAGAAACTTCAGACGAATTGGGCCTAATGGAAAATGGATCTATTTGAAATAATAACACATTGAGCCCAATCAACTAGTAATACCCAGTTGTGAAAGTTTTTCAGTTGTGTCCGTTGGATTGAGGACACGCGTTTTCATCTCGTCAAATCCTGAAGCTTCCAAATATCTTATGCATCTATTTTGTTTGGACAGAACTCATCAACCTCGTTTGTGTCGGTCTTCTTCACAATTTTAGCTTCCTTTACTTTGCAATTCTTCTTCGAATCATCATTAATTTCTGGAAATTGTGAAGCTCCGACTCCAACAAATCGGAAGGAAACTTATTTTTAACAAATAAATTTGGTCCGAAAAATTAATCAATCAAATCATTTGACCGAAGGCAAAGCCTAAACCGAGCGAGCAACAACGACGTTGCGAGGCTTACCTTCTTCTCAACTCTTTAAGAGCTAGAGGAAGGGTAATCATATATATACTCAGCAAAGGAGTTTTCCTCCTCCAATATGGGACAATGTTGCTTTGTAAAGGAGAATTTTTTTTTTATTTTTTTCTCTATTTTCCATTGACCTCAATTTTGAACAAAA